GTCAACGAAAGCCGACTGCTCACCGCCAGCGGGGCGAGGCAGGACACGAGGGTCCGCCCTCATCAGCTGCGCCTGGCGCTGCCGGGCCCACCCATCAAGGTCTGTCCCAGCCGCGACGCGCGTCCCGCTGACCGCCTTGCCGTTGACGGACACGAATGTCCGGCCCCCCACGTCGAGAGCGTTGGCCGGCAGGGCGAACTCCTGGCCGACGGCGAAGGAATCGCCCGGCTCGTCGAAAACCCATGCCCCCGCGGCGCCCGCCACGCGCGGGGCCATGGGAACCGCGGGCACTCCAGGAGCCACTGGCGGCGGCACAGGCAACGGGATGGGCACGACCGCCGGCGCATTGCCTCCCGGGCCGATGATGTCATCCTGCCCTGGTGGCGGGGCCAGGCCTCGCGCCGCCCGCTCCACTCTCGCGTGGTGCCGACCCTCGGCCATGAGGTTCACCAAGTCAGCTCCAGCGGGCCGAGCTCGAAAGCGATATAGCTGCGCCCCCGTGAGCCCAAATGGGATCGAGCCCGCATGGTCGCTAACCCTCAGAGCCTCGAGATCTGGATTCGAAGCGTCAATTTGTTCAATGTACACGTCAAAGTCAGGCGTGATGACGATGAACAGCGAATCTACCACCCACGCCAGCAGGATCCGCTCATGATAGAGCGCGTCCCCGTAGTTGAGGAAAACGGTGATACCTGGCTCCAGCGACATTGCCCAATTAGGCGGTCACGATCTGCCCCTGTCCTGTGCCTGCCCGCGCCAGCAACCTTGCGCGATTCGACGCCGGCGCCTGGGCCGGAGGCTCGTCCACGAAGGCCTCGGCGGCTGGGCCTGGCCGCGGCTGGGCGCCTCCCGCCCCAGCCTCTCGCCGGCGCTGGCAAGCGCCTGGCAGCAGGACCAGGCGCCCGGCCGCGAAGCCCACCGCGGCCCCAGCGGCGAGGCCCGCAGAGCCGGCAGCCAGAGCGACCCCGGCCGAGCCCCACAGGATCTCGCGGAGCGGCAGGGCCTCCGCGCACGAGCAATTGCCGCAGGTGACCTGCGGGCACGCCGGCTGGGGCGCGCAGGTCAGCGTCGGGCACGCGGGCGGAGCCGGGCACGAGCTGACCACAGAGGCGGTGTACCAGTGTGCGCCGATGCTGGCGATATCGCGGCACCAAGAAGCGATATCGGAATACCAGTACATAGGCCCTCAAAAACTTGAGCCAGGATAGCCACGGACAGAGCAATACAGACATGTGCTGAGAGACTCTGCCGGCGAATCCTGATCATTCTGACCCGCTGCGATGCCAATGCGTTCCATGAGCTGCGACCGGCGGAGTTCACCGTAGTGCAACAGACACGTTCAAAACGCCAGGGGGGAAATTCTGTACAAAACGGTCGTTTTGTACAGAATTTCCCCCGCCCCCTCCCGGGCGTCCACGTTTATAAACCGAGCATCACTGGCATCTTCTGAACAAACTACACGAGGGGAGCTACACATGCTATTCTGTAAACAGATGGCATACATACATGCATGCATACATACATACATACATACATACATACCTGCGTACATACATGCATGCATGCATGTATGCATGCATACGTACGTACGTACGTACGTGCATGCGTACATACGTACAGACATGCATACACGTATGTACAAACACATGCATACACATATGTAGACATGCATACGCACATGCATGTGCACATATGTACTCACATGCGTGCATACGCGACTACATACATATTTATACATACATGCATACACCCATGCACAAATACATGCGCGTATACATGACTTCGCACGCACATGCATACATGCATGCATGCACACATGCATGACCACGCATCTGCAATCATGCATGCATGCACCTATGCATACGGCCATACATACATATATGCATATACACACATACATACATACATACACATACAAACATACATGCATGCATGCATGCATGCATGCATGCATGCATGCATACATACACACACATACAGACAGACAGACAGACAGACATACAGACATCCATCCATCCATCCATACATACATCCATGCATACATACATACACACATACATATACAAGTGGCACGTGTGTGCCCAGGCTCATACAAAAAACTGAAGGGGCGTTTGAAGCAGGAGTGAAATGCAACATCGAAGTCGCACTCGAGCGCAAGTGGGGTTGCCTCACCTTGCGATGTGTGTACCAGGACCCCCCAGGAAGCCTCAGGAGGCCCGACTTGGATACCAGAAGAGGCTCCAGGAGGCCCCAGGATTGTGAGTGTTGTGCGTGTGTGTGTGTGTGATGTATGCTTTGTGTGGTACGTGCTTTGTGTGTGTGTGTGTTGTAGGTGTTGTGTGTGTGTTATGTTTGTCTAGCGTGTGATGCGTTGGGCGTGATTTGTGTCTCTGTGTGCATGTAGTTCTGAAGCCCCAGGAGGCCCCAGGAAGCCCCAGGCGGCCTCAGGAGGCCCCAGGAGACCTCAGGAGGCTTCAGGAGGCCCCAAGAGGCTCCAGGAGGCCAGGAGGCCCCAGGAGGCCCCAGGAGGTTTCAGGAGACCCCCAGGAGGCTCCGAGGCGGGGTCTGGGGTGCCAGAAGGTTCAGAAAGCCCCAGGAGGCCCCAGGAGGTTCCAGGAGGCCCCCAGGAGGCTCCGAGGCGGGGTCTGGGGCTCGATTTTGGAAGGATTTTTCAAGCGAAACCGCCATTCCCTGAGAATCGGGGTCACAATTATTGAAATTACCATGTGTTTTTGAAGGTTTTATGTTAAAATGTTGAAATTCCCATGTGTTTTTGGACCCTGACGTCACGATCTGCGTGAGGGGTGCCACCGATTTTCAGAATTTCGAGGATGTCCCGAGCGAAACGCCCAGAAAAATCGCGGACGCGTGCGCATTAATCGCCTCTGAGCTCTACTCCCTCGGAGAGGTGCGTATGAGAATACATCCATCCATCCATCCATCCATCCATCCATACATACATACATACATGCATGCATGCATGCATGCATGCATGCATACATACATACGTAAACACATGCATGTATACATGTGCATGTATTGATGCAAGCCTGTCAACCGTTCTACCTGCATGCAAGCATGCATACAGGGAGAGAGAGAAAGAGAGAGAGAGAGAGAGAGAGAAAAGAGAGAGAGAGAGAGAGAGAGCGAGCGAGAGAGAGAGGGGGGTAAATCGAGAGAGACAGAGAGAAACAGAGAGAGAGAGAGAGAGCGAGAGAGGGAGAGAGTCGCCTTCTTCGCCCCCGTCTCGGTGCCCTTCCGGGCGCCCTTCCGCGCCCGAGCGGGGCCGGCACGCCCGTACACGAAGACAGCAGCAAGAAGAAAAACACGGCGTCGGACAAAGAAATGGTAAACAATGCCGACCCCTTGGGGTCCACTCGGCATGTGAGATTCTCCCCTCTCCCCGAGCCCCTCCCCCAGGGGCCCCCGCCTGGTCTGATGGGGGCGGGCCAAGGCGAAAGGTCGGGGGGGCCCCTGTCGCTCTGGAGAACAAAACCCTCCCGCGGGCCTCCGACGCCCTCGACCTGGCCCAGAGAGGCCCCAGGACGGCTCGCCGGAGCTCCCACGTGGGCCCAGGTGGCGCCAAGACGCTTCAGGATGGGCCCAAGACAGCCCGCGAGGCCTCCAGGGCGCCGTCCGAAAGCTCCAAGAGGACCCCATAGAAGGCCCCGACAAGTCAAAGCCGTCACATCCCCTGAAGGAGAAATACATGTTCAGCATCTTCATCTCGTCTTCACAGCCTTCACGACGGCTCCAGAGGCCTCCAAGACTGCAGGATGGCCCAAAAGGTGCCCGCGATAGCCCAAGACGGCCCCAAGACGGTCCAAGAGGCGCCCAAGACGGCCGAGGAGGGCCCCAAGGGGCCCAGAAGAAACCTTTAGAGGCTCCCAAACGGCTCACACAAGGCTTCAAAACTGCCTCCGAGAGGGTGGGCGGGCAAGAGGCGACAGGCGCTTCGCAAAAAAGAACACTGGTTGACGCTCCCAACATGCCACCAACATGCCGCCTCCTCCCCGTCCTCCCCGTCCTCCTCATTTACCTCTGAGCCATGTAAGAAACGGAGCAAGAACAGAGGGAGCGCTTCGAGGAAGAGGAAATAAGGAGGAACAGTAAGAAAGAAAGGGAGGAAGGCAGGGATCGGAGGAAGGAACGAAGGAGGGAGCGAGTAAAGGAGCCATGGGAAGCAGTAAGCAGAAAGCAAGCAGGATGGGGGGAGGAAGGAGAAGGAGGTCGCGCGGAGTTAACCTTCGTGCCCCCTGATTAGGGGGTCCTCGACCCCTCAAGATCGAGGCCTACAACCTCTAGAGGCGAGCTCCGACCTACGCCGCGACGATCGCCAACGACAGGCACGCGCGGCGAACGCTGCCGAGCTACGACGGGCAAGAACTGCGCAAAGCCTGGCGACGCGCCACACAACTCTGCCAGCAAGAGCAGACCAAAGGGGCCTTGGCGGCGGCCACGGGGGCCTGAGCTCCAACAGGGGGGGGGCGCTCCCCCCCCCCCCCACCCACCCACCCACCCACCCACCCACCCACCCACCCACCCACCCACACTCACACACACACACACACATACACACACACATACACACAGAGCCACGCTTAGGTCGGACATGTCCTCCTACAGGCGGATTTTGCAGGAAAACACAAAAAAAGGTCAACAGACAATAAACATAGTTGGGACACAGTCGAACAATCGTCCTCTGACTACCTACTTGTGTAACCGTTCTTGAATATTATGCCTGTAGAGGGGCGTGCCCCCCATACAGGGGGATGTTGGACGAAAACTAAGACACGTTCAGAACATACCCCCACCAAATGCTCCAAAAATACTCCACAACTCGTCCCCGGGCTATTTCGAGACTATTTCTTAATAGATTCCTCCAGTGGAGCCACGCGGCGACAGCGAAGGCGGCGGGGAGGGCGGAGCGACCGACCCTCCGCGCACGCCGCGCCCCCCCCGTGGGGCGCCGGGCCGCGGGGCGGGCGGGGCGAGCCCCGCCCGTGCCCGGCAGCCCGAGGCCCCCCTGGCCTCCGACAGGGGGCGCCGCGGTGGCACGCCGCGCTGGCACGGGGCTGCGGATCCGTAGGC